GTAGTGGTAGTAGTATTGGTAGGAGTAGCGGTAGTGGTAGTGGTGGGGGTAGTGGTAGGGGTAGTGGTAGGGGTAGTAGTAGGGGTAGTGGTAGGGGTAGTGGTTGGGGTAGTAGTAGGGGTAGTGGTAGGGGTAGTGGTAGGGGTAGTAGTAGGGGTAGTGGTAGTGGTAGGGTTAGGGGTAGTGGTAGGGATAGTGGTAGAGGTAGTGGTAGGAGAAGTGGTAGTGGTAGGGATAGGGGTAGTGGTAGGGGTAGTGGTAGGGGTAGTGGTAGGGGTAGTGGTAGGAGTAGTGGTATGGGTAGAAGTAGAATAAGTGTGGTACAGGCCGATCCAATGTGACGTGGTGACCTATACGACCTGGCCTGACCGAAGGTGACCTGGCCTGACCCAGTGTGACCAGGGATGGCCAACTTGACCTGACCTGACCCCATATGACCCAAATTTCATCCAACTAAGTTATTATGTTAAAAAATTTCCTCTGCACATTTCCGTCCATATCTCTGCTTCCAGACCACAGATCAATTTAAATCAAACACCATTCGAAAGCAAATTGGCTGCTGCCGCATTTTATGGCTACGCCGCGAAGCAAGTGGCGCAGCCGCTTGTCTACTATACTATTTGTGAAATGAAACTCTGTCTGTGTTTCTGTCTGTTTGCACCGTGCAGAGGTGTGCTTTGACGCCGTGCACAGGTCAAACGGTGCGGTCGATTGGGCTGAAATTTTCGCAGTATGTTGATGACGTCACGGGCACGTGCAGTGGCGTGTTTCGAGACTCAGGGGGTGGATGGCTTGCACGTGGCACGCGCTGGAAAAAGGTGCATTTTCTCCAAATTTTGCTCGGCTCTCAAGCTTGCTTCAAGGCATCGGCAGCCGGGTTCATTCGCCTTTGACAATAAAATGCATGACGATCGGCGGCGGGTGCCTCTCATTTGCAGATTGGCCAAGTTATTTATTTTGCTAAACAGAGGCGAATGAAGGTGTTGATTTTCGGAAAAGAAAGACAGTTTTCAATGCGCTTACACAAATGCACCGCGTTTGCCGTAGTGAGCCACATTTGTCCACATGCGCTATTTTTGCCGCAAATCGCACAACTTTGTCAAATATGGTCCGATAAAGGTGCAATGCGGAGGAAGGATGCATGGCAAAATAACAGGTACAAATGCGCCACGTTTGTCGCAACGCGCCACATTCGTCACAAGGCGCTATTTCCACCAAATATGATTAAGAATAATGGAATTACACGAGCAGGAGCACGGTAAGGAACTCTTTTTTAGTTCATCAGTTTAAATGATAATCTGTGACCTCACATGACCCAGTGGTAGTGGTAGGTGTAGGTGTAGTGGTAGTGGTAGTAGTATTGGTAGGGGTAGTGGTAGGGGTAGTGGTAGGGGTAGTGGTAGGGGTAGTGGTAGGGGTAGTGGTAGGGGTAGTGGTAGGGGTAGTGGTAGGGGTAGTGGTAGGGGTAGTAGTAGAGGTAGTAGTAGGGTAGTGGTAGGGGTAGTGGTAGGGGAAATAGTAGGGGTAGGGGTAGGGGTAGTTGTAGGGGTAGGGGTAGGAGTAGTGGTAGGGGTAGTGGTAGGGGTAGGGGTAGAGGTAGTGGTAGGGGTAGGGGTAGTGGTAGGGGTAGTAGTAGGGGTAGGGGTAGGGGTAGGGGTAGGCGTAGTGTTAGGGGTAGGGGTAGGGGTAGGGGTAGTGGTAGGGGTAGTGGTAGGGGTAGTGGTAGGAGTAGTGGTATGGGTAGAATTAGTAGAAGTGTGGTACAGGCCGATCCAATGTGACGTTGTGACCTATACGACCTGGCCTGACCGAAGGTGACCTGGCCTGACCCAGTGTGACCAGGGTCTGCTTCCAGACGGCTCATCGGTATGAATCAGACACCATTCGAAAGCGAACTGGCTGCTGCGTATTTTATGGCTACGCCGCGAAGCAAGTGGCGCAGCCGCTTGTCTATATTACTATTTGAGGAGGGCGTAGTTTCTGTCTATTACGAAGGTCGCGACATGGTGCTACGTAGCGCGGGTTACAGGTCACACCGTTGCACCTACCGCGCTGAAGTTTGCGCAACTCCTAGAACAAGGATGGACAACGTGCCTTTGATGGGTCTCAGCTCGATCGGATCGATAGCCAGCGCGTGGCGCGTGCCCAAAAAGTGCAAATTCGCGTCATAGACTTTACATGTATTAATCGGCTGGCAAAAACGGGCGAAAACAGCCAAATTTGCCCGACACGGGTCCGGTCCCGGTGCAATATCTCGGTAACCGTGGGCCCGACCGGTACGGGGAAAACAGCATCGTGTAGAGAATCAAACGGGCTATCGAATGGTGTGCGGTGCAGGGGTTGGCACGCGCCACGTGCACCGGGGAGGACACTTTCTTTTGAAAAATGAACGTTTTGGACGGATTTTGGAATTTATATTAATTTCAGGTGATCGTCAGACGGAATGAGTTGAAACAGCGCCTATTAGCAATAAAAATGTACCGTCTCTCATGGAAACATTGTGAAAAGCTAATTGATCAAAAACAATGTGGAAAAAATCGCTGAATTAAATGGTATTTGTCCATAATGTGCCACTAAAAAGTTACACGGGATTTGCTGCTTAACCTGATATGCTTGACAATTGAAAATGCTATCATTAGAAAGAGCATTCAATTCTCTCCAAGATCCAATCATCACGTTTGCATGACAAGCAACAGTATTCTTAAAAATATAAATGTTTCAAACCTCTGCAAAACGATTTTTAGCGAAAATTATCTACGCCTTTCATTTGTCTTAAAACTACGCACCTCAATTATAAAACACATTTGACAGATTTTGAAGTGGAAAGCATGCTTATCAGACACGGGCACCTCGATGCGGTGGATATTTTTTCCAAACCAAAACGTTTAGCCGTCTAAAATCAATCGACCGAAATGGATAGCTAACCCAACCGACACAAGAAAACCAAACACCCGCCGATCGTAAATGCCCCTTTTCGCGTTGCGGAGCACGCGGGCCACCCTAGTCTATACTATTTCTACTGTAGTTTCTATAAAATATGAAAATTTCCTAGCACATTTTCGTATGTGAAAAAGGTTTTTATTTTTGCAAAAAAGAAGCAGTACTTGCAGTACTTGTAACACCCACCGAAATGCGTTGTCCTTCTTGTCCTTCTCTATAAAAAAGTCGCAGTATATGGCGCTTTTGTTTCAAACAGCGACGCTTGGGTTTTTGTTTATGTTATCGCCTTGTCGTTGCTTGGTTGTAAGGATTCTAATTTGAATTAGAGTTAATTCGGTTTAGAATTAATTAGATTCGTACATAGTGCCTACTCTTCTTTGTTTCCAAGTATTATTTTGCGCCACAAATGAACGGCATGCGCCAGAAACGCAGCCAAATCTTGCGATTGCGACTACGAAATTCATTATTTTGGCCTCAGAGCCTGAAGCGAAAAATACAAGCATATTTATTTCAAAAAGACTTCAGGTTTGTCGAACGGTGTTATGAGAATTTTGATAACAGTACTGCATAAGTTTTTCAGTGATGCCGCAAAAGTGTTGTATCTATCTTCTTTTATTGTGCAGTCGGCGGGACCGATTCAAAATTGAGTCGTTGCTACTAAAATAGCAGCATATGGCCTCAGATGATGAACAGGAAAAATAGTTGCGTAAATTTAGACATAAACCACCCCCAAACCATGAATATCTTTTGAAGGCACTATAGACGACCATTAACTAACTAGATGTGATGAAGATCAAATGTAAGGAATACGCTCATTTTACAAAATTACATGCAAGTACCAAAAAGTGATGTAAGTACTTATTCAACGGTCATTTTCAGCGCTCCCCGCTAACGTGACTTCAAGTTGAGATATTTGCGGCAAGGTACCGCATTGAGCAAAATGGTTTTAATTTACATTATAACTTGTTGTGTTTTGTCAGAAAATGATCCTAACTCAGATTTTGTGGAAAAAGGTCATTATCTCCCTTTAAAGGGACCCTCCCACCTTAACATTAGTTTTGAGTTGAGATAGCCAAATTGGTGGCCATGGCCTGAAAATACCGGTTTGGGCATTCACAACATCGAAAAATGCTTTAATTCGGAGATATGGAATTTCAAACTTGCAGTTTTCGGATTCTAAGGGGCTAATGCATTGGTATGCCCCCTTAGAATTTGTGACGTCAGCGGAGATCTAACGATTTTTAAATCTTTTACTAAAACGTTTGGCAGCACGCGGTGGTATATGCTGCTTTGCGCGCAACAAATGCCGCACTTTCAAATAAAGTCGCTAGGAACAGCGGAGATCCCAAAAAGTAAACAAAAGTAAAAGTCTAATATCTTGAAAACCGGTGAATATTTTTTGATGAAATTTGGTAGATATTCATTTTTGCTCTTTCTGAACCGAGCGACATCACTTTCATGCCAATTCATTAACTTTTTTGAAGGTGGGATGGTCCCTTTAATGACTTCCAGTTAACTGTCAAGCATCTGGAACGAAAGGAATACCTATTCCCCATTTAATGAGCGACAATGGCATTCACTCAATGACAGTGCTGAATGAAATAAGTGAATACCCTGCCTAACATTTGTTACGTGGACTTTAAAACTGTTCTTCTGTTTTGTTTGTTTTGTTGGGTTAGGCCCTTTCGGTCGACAAGACCATTGCAGAGCCGGAAGGATGATAGGAATTAGGGGGAGACATTGGTCTGGGCAGGCACCCTAGTGAGTCGCCGGGGCTGAGCCCGTCCAGGGACAGACCACCCAGCCCCAAGGCACTCACTGCACCCGGCTACGGGGTGCGCTCCCTCAGGAGCAGCGGTGCCGCTCCAAGGGAGCAGCCCGCATGAGATAAAGTTGCCTGTCCAGCCCGGAGGGGGGTTGCGGCTTGGAGGAGAATGATTTCAGTATCCTGAGGATAGAAGCACGGATAGGTGTTCTTCTGACTGCGCTGTTGAAAGCTAAACATTACTGATCAGTGTGACAATTTCCATCCAGCTAACTCTGGCTCGAACCACCCCCAGTGCCATCTGGATCAACTGTTTCGGCCTATTCGCGCTCCTCACCATCTGCGGATACGCCGGTCTGGTCATCTACGCTAAGTACGAGCACTGCGACCCGCTGACCTCCAAGAGCGTGTCCACGCCCGACCAGCTGTTCCCGCTGTTCGTCATGGACACCATGGGACAGATCCCCGGCGTGCCAGGATTGTTCGTGGCGGGCATCTTCAGCGGTGCCCTCAGGTGAGGCGGAATAGCCAGAAACGCATTAAGACAGTGACGGCATACGGTTCGTATTCAATGGCCTTTTCCCTTCCTGACACTGACCCACTCTTCATTTCCCATTCCTTTCTTCAACCTTTCCATCTTTTCCTTCTCCTTCGGTCTTATGTAGGCATTATTACATGTTGATCTTGTTCGTGTAACATCCAAATGACAAGCGGTGCTCTGCACGAATGTAAATTAAGGACAGTCAAGTTTTATCAGCGCTTCTAGTTCTGTCTTACTCACGGTGCCTGACCAGGCCTCCGTTGCCCTTCCCTCAGCACGGTCAGCTCCGGCATCAACTCTTTGTCGGCTATCACAGTGGAGGACTTCATCAAGCCCTTCACCAGCCGCGACATCTCTAGCGAGAAGCAGGCCAAGTGGTCCAAGTGGCTGGCAATCGGATTCGGTACGTTGGGCATAACTATTTACGGTGACCAGCGATCAATAGCTTTATGCTGGTGGTGATTTGAACCGCCATATAATTTGCATTTATTGCTATGCATAACGTATTTAAGTATCGTGAGTGAGCAGTGCGTTGTCCTTACTTCATGCATAATTTCTGCGCAAATCTGCTCTTAATCGTCAGCCGGCACTTTTGCAAACCATAGAAATATCAAAACCTGCGTTCGTCGTTGTTGAATAATTAATAAATGTTTTAAGCGCTATCGCCGTGTTTATTCGACTGAGTAAAACACGCAAGGATGATGTCCCTGAACATCGTAAATGCCCTCTAAGCACTTAAGTGTTTTTAATTATGTGTTTCTGCTTGCTATAATGGATGCACAATATTGCACTTTCCCAAACGACTGCACCATCACAACCTCTGATCGATGCATACTTACTTTCAGGTTTGCTCTCGTTCGTACTAGTTTTTGTTGCTGAACAGCTTGGAGATATTCTACAGGCAAGTGCCAATATTAATTTGCTTTATCAGCCGTTTCATGTTAACAATAAATAGATTTCATGAGAATTTCCTAAGCATTGCCCTGTGAGAGCCGCATTACCTTGGACTCGGAACGCTAACATTTTATCCTCGCACCACTCTTGCAGTCTTTGTCCTACATGTATATTTACGTATATGATCGTTTTGTGTTTGCCTTAGGCGGCGCTGAGCATTTTCGGCATGGTCGGCGGACCTCTGCTGGGTCTCTTCACCCTGGGAATGTTTTTCCCTTGGGCTAACCATATCGTGAGTATGATCAGTGAGCTTTGGTTTTAACGTAGACACGTTTCAATAAAAAATGACATCTGAGGAATTTGTGTGTCTTTGTCAGTGCATGATCATTGTTCAAGCCTTCATTGATTGATTGGTCTGCTATTCTGTAAAATAAACTTTAATGTCTTGCGATTGCAGTGGTAATCGTTCGACCACATTTCATCAGTTCATATCTAGCGCTGTGCCTCACGAGTCACGATATTATTAATAACCAGTAAAACGCCTTTTGGGCGAAGAACGAGCGAGCGAGATAGTGAGCCCTGCACAACAGATTGCAAGCTGAAATCAAACGTCGCTGCAGCAGCTTTGCATTAAAGTGGTGATCAATTTGTTGGTATTAAACAGTCACACGTACTTAACTAGCTCAGCACGAAATTATAGCGGAGACTGGCAACTGTGGTATTGTAACACACAGTGCTAAGCATTTTTAGCCAGTAAGGTTCCACATGCGTTAAACAATCGTTAACCCTTCTTTGTTCATTCATTCATTCATTCATTCATTCATTCATTCATTCATTCATTCATTCATTCATTCATTCATTCATTCATTCATTCATTCATTCATTCATTCATTCATTCATTCATTCATTCATTCATTCAATCGTTCATTCATTTAATTGTTCGTGCATTCGTTTGTTCGTTCACACGTTCGTTCGTTTGGTCTCTTATTCTGTCGCTTTCCGGTGGCAACGCTCAACCAATACAATATACTCTTCAGCATAATTCAGTCGATTTTTTCACATGGTGTGTTTGATCCGCAGGGCGCATTGGTAGGCACCTTTTCCGGCCTGATCGTCATATTCTGGGTCGGAGTGGGCTTCCAGATCGAGAAGGCGCTCGGTCGCATCCACTCGACGAAGTTGCCCACCTCGATCGACGACTGTCCGCGTTTCAACGTCTCTGAGATAATGACGACCACGACGCTGGCACCATCGACGGCCACCGTCCCGGCACCCACCGAGGACCCGTGAGTGAGGCGGGCGGCGGACAGACAGACAGACGGACGGACGGACGGACGGACAGACGGACAGACGGACAGACGGACAGACGGACAGACGGACAGACGGACAGACGGACAGACGGACAGACGGACAGACGGACAGACGGACAGACGGACAGACGGACAGACGGACAGATGGTCAGGGGGACAGACGGACAGACGGAGACGGATAAAACGCTGGGTCGTTAGAATTAGAAGAAGGTGAAATAGGAGGCAGGTGGGCTGGGAAGATGTGCCGGGACACCGGAATCCGGTTAGTCATACTTGTCATTCTGCCGGCGCCCGGCATCACCGTTTTATCACTGCCAGTCGTCATTACAGCAATCACTAACATGCTATTTCGCATTCGCCGCGTATCTGATCAATCATATTTCAGTCTATATTACGGATGAATCTGCTGTATTTCTTTTGCGCTGAGTACCTAAGACTATCTATTACTGTGCCACTGACGGAGCCTCTGTGTCGACAGGGGTGACGCGCTCGGCATCTACTACCTCTCCTACATGTACTACTCGGCGCTGGCCTCCTCCGTGGTGGTCATAGTCGGCATGCTGGTCAGCTTTGCCACCGGCACGCGCGACCCTCGCAAGATGGACCCTCGCCTCATCGTCCCGCTGGGCACTCGGCTGGGCTGTTGTCTGCCGGAACGGTGGAGGAGCGCGCTCAACTTCCACGTCGGAGAGGAGTTTGTAAGCATACGTTCTAAAGAGGAGCTTTAGAGTAGTTACGTAGTTTAGAGAAGTTACGATGTCGGATCAACCCAATGCTTAAGAATAGATGCAGTAAGTAGGTTTGCTGGTCTTCAATAAACTTCGTTTTATTGCTAGTTCTGGACTTGAAACTATTATTTGCTCTTACAGGTGCTCTTGCCTTTTCAACCTCTGATTTCTGGACGCGTTCTTTATGACTAAACGTAATGCCCGCCTGTACTTAGCAATTTTTTTCACATTTTCGCAGGACACGGAGGACATTGACGGTCTGGAAATGAAGAAGGCGCCGCCTCCATCCAATGGCCACCACCACGACCCTGGCCACGAGAACTACGGGGGTCCTCAGCTGCGCAGCTACACAGAACTGGACAGCGACCGGTAGACGCCGGTGTAGACAGGAGATAACGACCGGTAGACGCCGGTGTAGACAGGAGACACCGACCGGTAGACGCCGGTGTAGATAGACAGCGAGCGGCAGACGCTCGTGGGGAGCTGTAGGACACAGCTCTGCACCCGCAGTGAGCTGTGTGTGTCGGACGGGGACCACTGTGGCTGGCCACAGCCGCCCGACCCGGCCCCCAGCGACGGCGACCAGTTTCAGACGCCGGCCGATAGGTGTCGTGCAGGTCTACCAGCTCGGGCCCATCCCCTACATTCCGAGACAGTGCAGAATGCCAGCTTCATTCTGTGAGGTCTCATTTTGAACTGTATTCCAAGTGCATGTGACAAGTGTATGTGAGTTTGTCGCGGGTCCGTGTTTCCTGATTCGTTGCATTTTAGCGTTTTGGTGACGGAGAAGCTAACACAACGATAGTTACTTCGTAGACTCGAGACCTTAGGCATGATGCGGAAGTCTGGGAGAATGAAGTGTGGCGTCCTCCGTTCCGTGGCTTCTATCCTCAGGACACTGAAATCCTTCTCCTCCACGCCGCAACCCCCCTCCGGGCTGGACAGGCAACTTTATCTTATGCGGGCTGCTCCCTTGGAGCAGCACCGCTGCTCCCGAGGGAACACACCCGTAGCCGGGTTCAGTGAATACCTTGGGGCTGGTCGGCCTGTCCATTCGGCCGGGCGCAGCTCCGGTGACTCACTAGGGTGCCTGCCCAGATCAATTGTCTCCCCCTGATTCCTATCATCCTCCCGGCTCTGAAATGGTCTAATTGGACCAAAAGGGTCGAACCCAACAAAACAAAACAAGCGAAGTCTGGGAGGATGAAGTGCGGTGTGCTCATGATGTATCTGGTGCGGCTGATCGTACATTAGGGGGTTGATAGATGGACATTTTATGCAAGCTCGAGGCTACCGTTTTAGAAGTATTTAGACCCACTGCTATAGCGGTGTTTCATTTAGATGCCACGAAAAGGTGAAGTTTTATCACTTTTTGTCTACTTTAGATGAAATGCTATCACATAAATCATGTTTGAACTTTGAAGTCAAGTGACGAACAGCGGGCCAACATACACGGTGTCAACATATTCCATGCTGTCTTCCTGCTTGTTTTGTGTTGTGAATGTGTGTCAGTTATCATGAGTGCTCAAATAACATGAGACACCGTTTATCAAGTCTTTTCATAGGTGTTCTTTTCGAGTGATCTTTTTTTCGATTTCACTCTATTGAACCGTCACTCAATGTCATCAGAGGTTGTTTTTGTAAGTACGTTTAGCAAGTTGGCTCAACTGAAGGTTTGTGTTTAATTGTTTTAACCCTATTCCTGGCGGGGGGGGGGGCCTCAGGAGCCCCCCCTGAGGTTTTTTGGTTATATCTCCCAAACGCTTTGAGCCAGGAAGCTCAAATTTTCTGACTTTTTCTTAAAGGCTTTTACGCAACATTTCTGAAAATTTTGAGTTGATCTGACCTCAGGTCAGGTCACCAGAGGCGGTTTGGTGACCCTACCTCAGAAAAGTTTGCAATCACGCCAGAGCTAGAGTTTTTGACCGATCAATTTCTTCTCTTCAGGCTTTAGTTAGGGTACCAGTATGTGCAATTTTTTATGTCTCAGAATTTTAATATCTGTGACCTGAGGTCAGGCCAGACTCGTGACCTTTACATTGCAAGCCTATGGGAAAATATTGAAACGCCTCCTGCTTCGTGTAAACGAGTCAAAAACACCCAGTTCTTTCAGTATTACGGAAGATTATCTCATCGGTGATGGTCCTGGTGCCGCTAATTGACAGGGGCACCGGCAAACGTCATCTGAGGTCATGTGACGTCATAAATCGTTTTTCTGTCAATAAATCACGACATGATGGTGCTAAAGACTTGTAAGTGGTACCAAACTGCTCGCCTGGTCAAGGCGCGTCGTTTGGTATGCAGCATGACCATACCCCACAACCTCATTGATGAATGACCTGACCTTGACCTCAGGTCAAATTTTAAATTGACCTGTGAAGGTCATCACATACTTATTTCGCATCGCCTCGGCGAGAGCAACAAAAAATGTATTGGTTTTATGTCTCTATGTTTCTTAGTTTAAAAGTTATATAGGTAACTAATTCCAAAACATTTTATCGTTGATGACCTCTGGTGACCTCAATATTGACCTGACCTGAAAATGTTTTATGTAAAAGTTGTAGATCTTTAAACGACCTATCAAACGCCGTTCGCCGTTTGTCGCTGCGATGTGTAGTTTTTGAGATCTGAAGGGGGGGCCGAATCGGCCCCCCCCCCCCCGCCAGTTTCTTGTCCCGGCGGAGCCCGCCAGGAATAGGGTTAAGCATGTTCGCTAGACTTCTGTTTTTTTTTAGGTATTGTAATGAACCTACAAAACTAAAAACCATAAAGTGTGAATTAAGGCAGGGTGTAAAATCTTTGGATCGTTCTTTCAATCTTTCTTTTGCATGTGGAGCCCAAGTTTTGGCCTCGGGTCAACGCCATGACATTTATGTGGCAAAAGTCGTCAACTAGGTATTGTGTAGGTACTATAGTTTTCTTTAGAAAGGCGGCGTTTCAGCAAAAGGTATGAATAACTATTTACATATTTCTTCAGAAGTCAAAACTGTGGTCTTGACACTGGGCATGTTAATTACTTCATTAGAACGCTCACAACAAGTTAATGAATTGCGACGAGAAGCTCCCTACTCGCAGAGTAAAGAAGTTTTATCCTTCCACGTAGATATATCGCTGTGGTGGCGTGCCGTATAATTATGACAGATGGCTCATTTGTAAGGGTGACAACTGCGGCGATGAGGAGCACGCACAGCCATCGACAACGCTCCAGGATGAATAAGATATGCGGCGGAAACTGGGGCGGTCGGCGCGGGGAACGCAAGGTCGTGTCAGTCTGGGCCGGCACAACTTCTGACGCTCGAAATGTGTGCCACGCTGTGCCATATCACTGAAAGAAAAGTACACCTTGGTAATTTGAATTTGATTATTATACACCGCCATTACACCGAAATCAAGAATATTTATACCCTTGTTCGACGTATATGGAGAATAAAATAATGCTCCGGTGCGAATGTACTCTATCACGAGCGTATTCTTGGAGGTTAATTTGATCCAGTTTAACACTCATGGCGCAATTCTAACTTTTGAGATATTTACCCCTCTAATTGATGGATGGTAAAATTACTACTATAGTGTACTTTCTTCAAGTGGGATAAGAATACCCATCTGATAGCATAAATTTGCACTCTGATTTGTCAGCTGATAATTCAACCCTCATCATGGTGTAAATATGCATCCTTGGTAAAGTGTGTTTCGATGAGGATGGTGTTATTTTATGACAAGGATTTAAAATACCCTAAACATGATAGTTCTGCACCCATATGCTCATTATTTTACGATAGCGTCCACGTGCGGCTCGCGAGCCTTCCGTTTCCGCCATTTTCATTTTTGTGTCTGCTCCGGACCGGAGCCACGGAGACTTCTGGCGCTTGCAAGTGATCTTCTGGCGGTTGAAACAGTGAGATAGGTGCGAGTGTGCTGGTGCGTTCGGTGTGGTGATGACTGACTAGTGCTGGACCCATTTCCGAATAACTTTGAGGGTAAGTTGACTTGATAATGTTTCGATGTAGCAGTTGATGAAATTGATTTGCTGCTGTCTGTATGCAGTATGCATGTCACTCACTTAGCTGTTTGTGTCAATACGTGGCATTCTGATCAGTGATTCCAGAAGCTCAAATTGACCCTCTCAGTTTGTTCTCAAGGGCAAATTGAGAAATCAGTTAAGTACCTACTGAGGTTGTTAACTGTAACTTCACCAAATGTTCAATGTGTCGATTGATCAATATATGTTTAGGTATGTTTAGTAGTTTTGTTTCTCTACGTTTTACAAAAGTACTAGAATCTTGGCCTGAAAAAGTTGCTAATTTATTTTGTGTATTACTTTCAGGTTTGGGGTGACCTGGCTCTCGTCGTGGGTCACGCCGGCGAGAATGGCATTAGGACAAAGTCACCTCAATAACGCGACAGGCGTGCTACACCGCACAACTCCTGCCTCCGGAGGGCGCCACACCCGTTGAAGGTGAGTTTTAAACTACCATTAATGATGACTGACGACAATTGTCCGTCTGTCCGTCTGTCCGTCTGTCCGTTTTCCGTCTGTCCGTCCGTCTGTCCGTCCGTCCGTCCGTCCGTCCGTCCGTCCGTCTCGCCTGTCTCATCCATGGGCTCCGCCACCGGGGGGAGGGGGAGGGACGAGGGACGTGTCCCCCCCAATATTTTACATTTGTCTGTTTCGTCTGTCTCGTCTGTCGGTCCGTCCGTCCGTGACATACAATATCGTTCTGTACTTAAATGTTACAGTGCTTACTAGTGATATCTTTCAGTTTTCACGGACAGACATACAATATCGTTTTTTGCCTTATGATTACAGTGCTTAACCCGCGCACCGACGGGGGAGCGGCCCCCCCCCTCAACTTTTGTCAGATAGCATAAAAAAGGCGGCGCATAGCGCCGCCAGATTTGGCACGACTGTTGATACATCCATTTCGCACACCCTCTGGAAATTTTTAGCTCATATCTTTAAAAAGTCAGGCCACCAGGCCACCTTAAGTGACCTCACCTCGAAACACAATCTTCGAAGTTTGCTATCTCGTTGTTGAAAGCAGATCTTGAAACTCACAGAAATAATTTTGGTGATGAGCACCTACAACCAGGGCTGCGGAGTCGATGGATTTTAGGGTGACTCCGACTCCGACTCCGACTCCGGGTTCAACAATCGACTCCGACTCCGACTCCAACTCCGACTCCGGACGGTTGTATTAAAATCCATATCATGATATTAAAGTTCATAACGGAGACGTTTTTATCTTGCCTGAAACGATCCCTTGCGCGTTCCAAGGCTTTGCGTTGCAAATATGCTTTACAAATAACATGCAGAATTAAAAAGCAGGCTCTGGGGAATTCACAGTCTTCTGCTTCTTTCACTGGAAACGTTCGTCCAAAACAGCAACATGGTCTTTTTTCGACAAAATCTCATTTCGAGCGCAGCATCGTCGACAGGTGCAGTGCATTACGTTGAGACATGCAGCGTTAACTCCAACTCCGGAGTCGGAGTCGGTAAGATTTTGGCGACTCCGACTCCGACTCCGACTCCGAGCAGAACTGTCGACTCCGACCGACTCCAACTCCGACTCCGACTCCGCAGCCCTGCCTACAACTCGTATATCTCAGAATTGCATATCGATGACCTACGAATAGGTCTTTTTTTACCTGCCCATTATAAGTCAATGGAATAAATTTCAAGTCATTCTTATTTCCATCAGATTCCTTTTTTATACGACTTTTTATCTCTTCTGTTCATGAGCTACGGAGTCGTTTGTTGAATGTTGTCGGTCTTTTTACGGTTACTCGCATAATTTGACCTTCGATGACCTCTGATGACGTCATTTTGAACCCTAGCGAAAAATGACCGAAGTACTTTTTCATAGACCTTCTTACGAGCTTTCGAATGTCGTTTGCCACTTCTCGCGAAGTTTCTTAGTTCTTGAGATCTTTGGGGGGCGGTCATCCACCCTCTGGTCGCTTCTAAGTTGGCTCAGAACCCCTTCGGTGCGCGGGTTAATAGATTCATCTGTCAATTTTTAAGGATCGACATTCAAAATTGCTATTTTCTTAAAGATTACAGTGCTTAATATTTCTTTACATCCTTCAATTTACATGGATGGGCGGATGGACGGACGGATGGACGGCCTGACATACAAAGTCGTTCTTAACTTAAAGATTGCAGTGGTTAATAGTTCTTTTTATCTTTCAATCTTGGTAGATGACGACCTGGCGGCCACCTTGGTGATCGGTGGCGGCACGACGATTTCGGAGCTGCAGGCTGGGCGCAACTCTGTGTCCGTTCGCCCAGAAACCCAGTGCCTGGTCAGCGATGTGAAATATCGTCTCCCAAACAGTGAGATGAAGATGCTGGCTGCCTTCGCTGCGGCGCACGCTGTGCTATATTTGCCTTTTAGAGGGCCCAGCATGATCCTTTTTGAGGTCATATATGCACGGGTTATGAAGTTCGCGATTCCTCTCAGTGCGGCCGAGAATGTCATCCTTCGTATAATCCACTGTTGCCGATTCAGAGGCACCAGTGCAGTGGTCGGGTGACCGAGCAGGGCCCTGTTTCACGGCACGGCACTACTGTGCGCTACTAGTAACTATCGCGGTATTGAGTTTCCATAGAAACATCTACAAACTTGGACGCTCCAACATTGAGAGCGTTCGAGTATGTGGATGTTTCCAATAGGAACTCAGCACCGCGATACACGTAACGCACTGTAGTGTCGTGCCGTGAAACATCTTCAGTACCTATAGGCACTGAAGATGATGTGAGTTGAGAAGGCCTCAGTCATTTTTTTTACGGAGTTTTTGTTGTCAGTGCTTTCCTAGTTCGTACACCTGTGCTTTGATTTCAGAGACCGTACGTTTGGTGTCGATACTCGTTACACAAAGAAATGGTCAGTTGTTTTTAAAGTACATGATGAAACGTGACTTAGTGACCTGATGACCTGTGCTGTGAATAAAATGTGATTTGTGCAGCTTGTGATATCCTCAGGAAAGTCAGTGTTGGGAGGAACCAATCTGTAGCAGCCTGTGATCTGTCGTTTTAAGTTATTTTAAATAAACACGTTGGAGAGATGCACCATAGTTGACTATCGAAAGTGCTCAGAAGACGACAGTAGATACAATCACGCTGGGGGATAGTTATGGCTGGCGAT